CACTGGAAATTTACTCAAAAAATTAAATTATATTAAAATACGTGGAGTAATGCAGTTATTTGTTTTATTTTAATCGCATTTTGGACAGTTATAGCTTGATGTCACTTTATGTATTACTTCCGCATAGCTCACCCTCGCGAGCGTAAGAGAATTAGTTTTAAGGACACTAGCTTTGCAAAGTAAATGCTACATTATCTTCTTTCTAATAATAATGTGTATGAGTTTGCAACATACAATAGACGACTTTTTCGTACGACAATGCATCCATTTTATAAAAGTTGTACCATAATGTGCTCATGTATCTATATAGTTTGTTTTGCGATCTCACGGGTATAAAGTTGCGCCGTGATCTTATTGAAAGACAAAACCTAAGTTGTATATTATCGTATGTACCTTGCTACTCGTAAATACATGGCCTAGATATCTCATTATATACGTGCAATTTAACCAACTTTAATACAACTTTGTTGTAATATAAATCTTGTAAAATCGGAAGTATATAATTCACATGTCTAAGGCCGTGTCTACATCTATCCAAGTTTCTTAAATGTCACATTTAGATAAGCTAAATAAATGGCCCTTTCAATATATTTTCAGGCTCGTTTTACACTGAAATGTCTAATTAAGATTGCCCAGAATTTATACCTATTTTTATTAAGACTATCAAGTTTCTATAAAATGTGTGAATACAAAAAAAGCGGGAAAATGATGCAATTAGCCAAAAACAATGGATTTCATGAAATGTGTAAATTCTTATAAAATAAATGGAAAGTGTGAGAAAAAATATATTTTGAGTTTACTAATTGATAAAAATTCTTTAATTGATGAAAGTTATTCACTAGCTGAACAATATCATTTAAAATCCTTATTGATTCTACTTTTGGAAAACAGATCATTTTTTTGTTCTTCTGTGTTGAAGGATATTATAATCAGAATATTTGAAGAGGAAGATATAGACATTGTTTTACCATTTTATTTACTGGATTTTTTGAGGTTACTGATAGACAGGGTAAAAGTGTATTTCTATGAAAACAAATTGCTTAATGTAAATGTTGAAGTACCTTTGGAATATTATCATATGGTAACTGCACATTATGAGATTACAAACAGGTCTGATGATATTCCTACTCTAACATCACTTAGTCCAGCTAGTCCAGCATCAGATGCAACAATTACAGATATGTTTGATGAGCAGTAAAAAGGAATGTTGTTATCAATTTATTTTCAATAATGCCAAGTATTGAAGAATTAACAACAGTTGCAGTTTTGAACATACTAGCATTAGTTATAGCAAGCCGGAGACGGCGCCGTTCTTATCGAAGGTCACTATGGATAAAGCCCTGGCTATTGAGGAGAAACAAATTTAGTGTTCATTCAACATTAATGAAAGAACTTCAGAATGAAGACCCCCTTTCGTATAAAAATTTCCTGCGAATGAGCACAGACATGTTCGAGGAGTTAAGGGATAAAATTTCACCCATAATTAACCTTGAGATTCCTTGCTACTGGTAAGTACTATACTATATCAGTATAATTATGATGATTATTTTAGATGACCATAATATACATGAATATACAGATTTGCCTTCACATTTAATACTAAAATACTACTCATTTTAATTATTGATTTATTTTAAATACATGCATACATGTAGTTATACAAAATACATTTATATAATATATAATACATGTTCATAAACATTTTGCCTTTTCTCTTTATTGATTAATGTTAATATTTTGTTTTAGGAGAATCATTTCATAGCCTTCGATATCAGTACAGGATATCTGTTTCCTCTATCAGCAAAATTGTTCCAGAGGTTTGTGATGCTATCTACAACGTACTTAGGGATGACTATATTAAGGTAAATACAAAAAATTATACACATTAACAAATATATATTGTTTTCAGTTAAATCAAATATTTTTCATTTTTATCTGTTGAACTACAACATAGTAGAACCAGAGTGTCCTTTTTTTGCAAAGATAAACAGGTCATCCTTATTGGTCTTGACTAACAGACTCGTGCAAGAACGGAGATTGTGACCTGGACTGTAGATCAGCCTGGCTTGTACTACATGTAGGATGTTTGTAAAACGGATGCAGTGGTCTTATTGGTGTCAAGGCCTCGGTTAGTGGGCTTGGTGACGAAGGCTGTGATCTTGAGTGATATCTCAGAAATCCGGATCTGTATTGAGATACAGGTGTTTGCATGCTATTTAGTGGTGGAACTTGAAATGTAGACTGTGTTTGATTTTCTGCGCGTATCAGCTCATGTACAACATTCATCAGTGTAATATGTGCACTCCTCGCAGTGTCTGCATTTTTCAGTAACCTTAACTGATCAGCTAGATATCTTCCAACCAAATCATGCTCATCTCCCCGAGAGGTTTGGCTTTCTCTCAGTGCTTTTAGACTTTCACTTGCCTCTTTAAGAACGATATCCTCTTGTTCCCTTATTGACCTTTTCTTACCGGTTGAAGTGCCAGCAATTGTTCCAGCCATCTGGCCAGTTTGGTCATCATCCTCTGTCAGTTTTTCATTCTGTAAAGGTAGATAATAGTTTCGATTATAAATAATTCACACATTTTTATTTATTTTCAGACACCTGAAACAGAGGAGGAATGGAGGAATATTGCATCGGAATTTGAACAAAAGTGGCAGTTTCCTCATTGTATAGGAGCACTAGATGGCAAACATATTACAATTAATCCACCAGCTAATACTGGATCTTACTTTTTTAACTACAAGCACACATTTAGTATTGTGCTCCTAGCACTTGTTGATGCAAATTATAGATTTAGATTTGTTGATGTAGGGTGTAATGGGCGGTGTCGGATGGAGGAGTGTTTAGAAATTCTAAACTATATGACTGCCTAGAAAATGACAAACTGAACATTCCAAAAATTGGAACCTATCACAGGAACACAGTATTCCAGTAACTATGTCATTGTTGCGGATGAAGCATTCCCTCTAAAGCCTTACTTACTTAAACCTTACAGTGGAAGGGACTTGAACAACCCCAGGAGGGTATTCAACTATCGATTATCAAGAGCAAGAAGGGTAGTTGAAAGTGCCTTTGGTATTCTAGCAAGTCGGTTTAGAATTTTCTATTCTCCAATATCTCTGAACGTGGAATCTACAGAAAAAAGTTGTACTTGCTGCTATAGCATTACATAACTGGTTTAGAGAAAGTGGCCACACATGAAGAAAGATATCAGATGGACGAGTCTAATGATGGAATACCAGAAGAGCCCCAAGCATTCGATTCTATCGGTCAGCAAACTGGCAACAGAAGCTCCAATATTGCACAAGAACAGAGAGAACAGTTATGTAACTTTTTCAACACAGACGGTCAAGTACATTGGCAATGGAAAAAGGCCTTAGGAAAAGACTACGTACCGATAAATTAGAAAGTGATCGTCGTTGGAGTTATGTGATCTGCAAGGAAGTGAAGCCTGTTGTAGAATGACCATTTTGGGGTGTACACATTGTTTCGTCCCTGCTCCACTTTTTGCTGAGGATAGCACTTTCTGATGCTCAGCACTGTACTGTGTTCGAAGGCTGGTAATTTCTTCTTCACTTCCTCAGCTGTTAAAACATAACATTATCTTTTGTGTGAACACAAATCAGTGCGAAGCTGAATGAATGAATGTCTACAGTAACTGTACTTATTTCTAGCTTATATATAATAAGTAATGTATCAATATGTTTCAGTTTTTTGCAGTGTATTTTACATAACTATATACAATACAATAAACTGCATTTACTCTTACATGCATGCCAAATACCATAAGATAGATATAAAAAATAAATATTATTTACCTGAAATTTCTAAAACAGTTGCAATGTCATTTATTCCAATTTCCCGCTTTTGTTTGTTGTGATAATCTTTCAAACTGTTATTATATAGAAATGGCCTTTCCTGATATAAATCAATCAATGTATCGATTTGTTCCTTTGAGAACGACATTGTAAACATTTACTGAAAATTCACAGGTCATTCACACTGAATCAACAAGAAAAGTCAGAAAAAAAGTAAAAATTTTCTCATCTTCGGGCACATGTTTTGTGTCAAATCGGTGTTATCAGTGTTTTTGACAGCCAAAACTTGTAGAAAAATAGAACGTGTTCTAACTTTCTTGCAAGAAATTATCTTCATGGATGTCACATAATTTCTCGTTAAAAACCATTCAAGTAGGGTGTCTACACTATCCAATTCAAGAGAATATGATACTTGCATCCAAGACTTGGATAGGTGTAGACGGGCACTAAGGGGTATTAGCACGTTAGTTTCCATATTTCTAACTTTAAACCAGACAGATGTGTTCATTATTAGCCGCATCTTGTCATACATGGACTGACAGCAGTTTCATCTGGCTATTCAAATCAGCTACTCCAATTCGAAACATCTTATCAAAAATTAATTAAAATCTTTTAACCCTGAGCATCGAGGACATCCCGGGAAATCATCTTTTGATGTCAGTCATCTTGTTTGCATATATTTACGTTCACCTTGAATAACTTCTGTTATAAGAATAGTTTAAATCATTTGAGAGCTCTTAACTCAATTTAAATTAACATCTGGGTAGAGAGATCTCTATGTTAATTATTTTTATAAATAAAGATTAAATAGGATTCAATGCTTGCCCACCAAATGTAACATCAACACGCTAGTTTTCACTCGTTTGTCACTAAATAAGCCATCGTCTAATCTTGCTAGTTTTGTTTCCTTAATGCTTTTTATTAGGTTTCCGTCATTTCTGGTGTAACATATTGTTATCGTTTTGTTTCTGAGAACACAAACATTTATGGCGTTTTTTTTGTTTTGATACATATGGTGTAACCATCTATTTTGTAATAAAAACAGTTTCCGTTGTAAAACCTTTATCGGGGTGCGAATTACAATATACCTGCAGAATACAATGAATGATTGTGTTGTGATTTGTTTATTTTTGAAATCAATTAAAATATTCATTTGATGATTTTTTTATTTCTTTCAGATTCCATTGCCTCGTTTTCAAGATTTGCGTGCGCATTATCCGGGTTATTCTCATCATGGCGGGCAATATAGAAATCATGAATTGTATAACTTGATTGGCATCGAGAGAAACAACAATCTTCTTCTTCATGATACCAGTGCATTAAGACTTTCATATAGCTTAAATCAAATAGGAGGAGTTCACTCCCTTGGCAAAGAGATGATACGTTTCTCACGGTTCGGGCATGACAGTATTGAGGGAAAAGACCAGCTGCAGTATATCTTTTTGCCAATTTCATACGGTCCTTATCTCGCCGATAAATACGGTTATCCCAACATCTCAAAACTTCATCAAATTAACCCTGTGCAAACAAAACATACATTTTGGGGTAAACAAGGCATCTTAAGAGTCATTACGTACACGAATCATGGGAATCAACCAAAAGGACATGTTGCATTGTGGGATTGTTACCATTTTCACCAAACAAAAGACTGGATTGCACAAAATTCTCTGTTAACTGTGGAGTTCTGGGAGTCACCAGGTGAGTCATGGTCGTATTAATAAGCTGATAAACATGACTATTTGCAAAGTTTAAGTCTTGTCTCCTGAAAATAAACGAATAACTAAAACTTGTATACACATAACATGTAAGAATAAGTTACATATTATTATCTTACATATTGTTTAAAGATAGAGTAGAAAGTTACGTTTTTGTTTCGTCAGCCACCTTTCACTTTGGTAACAGACGCCAACACAACAAGTTGTGATTAGGAAACAACATTTTATTGTCAAAAGGTAACGAATCTAATTTCAAAAACAAGTATAGTCTTTGTTCTCGTATAAGTTAATTATATAATTTCTTCTTTCATAAGATGACACAATAATTATATTCAAGCATTCAGTAAACCTCTAAGCCGAGATTTACACCTTTTTGGTTCGAGTTTATGTATCGAAATTGCCAATTTGCTTAACACACCATGCATGTTGAGTGGTCCTGTCAACAAATAACAGCATATAACATTTCTATTTTCAGATTCTGATTGCTCGAACGCTTCTGCAGATAGTGCTCAGTCGATTACAGTAATACCTTCAGCACCAGTAAAAAGCGACCAATCAAAATTAGTGTTACAAAATACGGAAAACCAATCAAAATTAACAAGTATTTTGAAAAACAGTAGTATTACATCAAAAGCAAAATATCTAAAACACTTAATTCTACCTTCCCATGCGAGACATTCTTCGAAGAAAATGAAATTGAAAAACAATTTTCATCAGTTTGGAAGTTAAATTTAAGAGGTAGAGTTTGAAATATGTCTACCCCTAGAACAGTCAAATAATTACTTCGATCTCCTAGTGTTTTTATTTTCATATAAAAAGATAGAATCAAGATGGAATTCTTGACAGAAGGGTGTGTGTACTTTGAAAAAGTTAGTTAATGATAAAAGAGCATGCAAATAAAAGACACATAAATACATTGTGTCTGAATACAGTATAGGCGTGCTTAACTCTCATAAATTTACAAACAATCTTCCAATAAAGGAGTCTTCCAATCTGGCAGCATTTAGCAATTGATAGTTAAAGGGAGGTAACTGTCAAATAAATGTGGTGGAAAAAATACATCCACATTTTCTGATAGTATAAAATCATTGTACAAAACTATTGCTTATATTTAAACTTATATCTAGTCAGTATTGTTTATGTTTGCTTATTTGTTACTTTTCTGAACGTGTGCTTTTATTGTTTCTGGTACGTCTGCTGATCGTGGCATAGTTACAAATGTTAACGAATATACATTAAGAAAATTTGCACCTTTCCGTACTTTTATGAAACTTTCAAGATTTCTTTTTTTTTGTCAGTAACAAAGTCATTATTTTTGCTTTGCTGTTGTGTAAACTGTTTTGTCGTCTGCCACTGAGCACATGTCTAGCTTTATAAAGATGTTTATGAGTTTTTTATTGGGCTGGATTAGAAACAATCTTGCAATCTAAAGGTAACATTTGATGGTACAATGCAATTCTTTCCAATGGAAAATGATTTCCGAGAAAATCGACATCGGATGACTTTTTAAAGTCGAATTCACATATGATTGAGTAAAACAAGATCAGCTTCAACTGTAGCAACATCTGGTGTTTACAGCTCCAGTTTATAATCGCAAATGAGTTATAACAAACGTGCTAATACAAGTGAGAAGCTGATGTCTCTTGTTTTCAACTTACACAATAATACAGTATAAATGTCAGTATTTCTATTATCATGTACATATATAATACATATATGAAGATGTGTTTTTGAATAAAACTATCTTATCTATTACATTACATTACATTGAGCTATTGTTAGATTTGTCAGATCTGGCTATATCACGGGCATTGTTTGTTTATAAGATTACACAGATATGTAAAACGACTGATAAAATAAAAATGTAGTATTTGTGAATATACTTACATGATTTTTTTTATTGAAGACGAAATATTTAGTTATTTAGTTATAAAGTAAAATTCAAGTTTTAGTCGGCAAAGTAAGTGTTATAGATTAAGTATGATAAAGAATTGTTAATTACCTAAACATACACAGGGAACCTTCACTTTTTTTCTTTTTAAGAAAAAGGAAACATAGATATTTAAGCTTGTCAACATTTCAATACAATTTCTTTTGAATTTCGTTAGAGATTTTTTCAACATATACAGTTTTGCTGTATTTTACATATAGATATAGCATATACTGTTTTTTATTGACGCTGATATATCTACAGTACTTTATATACACTCATATATGACAAGACGATATACTTAATATGTTCTACAAAGATATTAAGAAATCTCTGGACCATAAAATGTTTTTTGTAAGTAATAAAGGTGACGTATACACTCATAAAGTCATGCTTCATAATATAATTTTGATATTTTGTGATTATCAATTACTTACAGATACATTCATTTAACAATATTGTACAGCTCGAATATCAACGTGCAGTGAACTGAAAATAGAAACTACATGTATATTCTAAATATTATCATTTAAAGTGGCGGGGTGGTAGAGTGGTTAACGAGTCGGATTAGTCTCATGGGTTCAAACCCCATCAGGGGCAAGCCGTTGTTTCCTCAGGCAAGAAACTTAACACTCTTTGGTGGTTCCAGGAGAGTGTTTCAATAAGCTTATAGCTTCCAACACATTCGAACTAAAACAACTCGGTATCAACTAAATAGTATCATGTTTGTTTAAGTAAAATCTGTAAGGGATTCTTTGTTATCATTATAGTTACTTTTCATAGATACTTTCAATGTGCCATTATTTGTTGTATAAGTACATGTATTATATATTTTCCCTGTAATGGTGATTATAAGATTATTATGTATTGTTTTCATGGTAATTTTCACAACGAAGACTGAATCAAAAAATAAATATTTAAGATATATAAGTGTGTTATAATTTTGTTTTATGTTTACATTTAAGATATATACATTGTACAACATCTGTATCAGAGCTGACAGGTTCCACTGTGGTACCCTGTTCTGTTTCAACAGCAAAGAAGTTCATCAGTATTTGGAGATCGAGGACATGACCCGTGATACTTTCAATATAAGCGACGAAATTAATAAGCTATTAATATTCCATACGTTTGACTGAATATGAAAAATGCTTGCGCTTTAATCATAACATTACTGCTACGACATTTATCTCCGTATTTCAAAAGTTTTTGAAGTAAGACAATTTTGATATCAAACTAGATATATTTGCAATAAAAGATGTTTATCTATATAGAATATACTGTAAATGGGTAAAGGGAAGCAACTCGAATTATTTTTCAAAACATCGCGTTGTGATGAACAGACTTGTACTGTTTGTGATTAAAGCAAAGTCCTCACCTCATTTTTGCTTCAACGAAGGACTCACAACAATGGACAGCGAATTAATTCTTGTTGATTTTAGAACCTCAATTACATTTTGCAAATTTACAATTGCAGTGAATATTGGCATTTGGATTCTTAAAGACTATATCCTGCATATAAATAAATAAATAAATAGATAAATAAATAAGTCTGTATTAATTGTACGTTCAAGCGTCAATTATCAAAATGATACAGGTAACGCGTTGTAATGAAGACATTGCATTCGCTATAATTCTAAAATAAATCATACAGTACGATTCTTTTTCAGATAATACATGTAAGGTACATTTTCAAAATTTCTACAGTAACGCAAATTCTGTTCAATACATCAATTCGCCGGTTTTATGCTCTTTTTTTTCAAGTGCCGTGTCAAATTTGTAAAAAGTCGCCCCGTACTTCACTTCAGTGTTGTTAATTTGTCTGGCCCTTCGGGATCACTGATTCTAGCACGTTAGTGGTGAAGACTGAATGACGTACAAGCCGGTACTAGGGGGCGTGAGTGATGTTTTATTCGTGAACAGACTCAATCAAAAAGAGTCTGCAATTTTCATACAATATTGCATTACAACCATTTCAGAATTTCATAACGAATTATTAACAATTTTAAAGTTTTTTTTCCTGAAATTTTAGCACAGGACTAACTTTAATAAATAGGCAAAATATACTGTTATGATAGTGTCATTTTCCTTTCGCTAGAAACTTCAAAGAAACATTACATTATCTACAAATCTAAGTCTAACTTAATACTATTTTAATCAAACTATAATAAACTGCATTAGTGTAACTTGTACTTTCCAGTACCGTCTATGAGCTGGCCTGCATCATTTCAAATTTGTTGTTTTTGACGTTCTTTAGGGTTTCCGTTTTCTGTATTTTAATGTTCAAAAATCATGGAATACCACAAAAATAAGTAAATGTATATTTTAGACCGAAAATTGTATTTTGAATAATTTCTACTTTAAATACACTGTGAGGAAACCAGCATAATTTGCTATGAAACATCGTAAACTCTATCATATAACAAGAGCCGGTTGAAAAGGTGATGCCCCCCAATGTTTTGGACAAAAAAAGTATACCTTTTATAGTTTCAGAGTTATGTTCCGGACAAATTTCAAATGCAGTAAATCCAAACTTTGGCGAGGCAGAGTTACTTACTGTTCTTTGCAATGCAATTCTACTCAATGAGATCTATCTACCGACTTAGTTTCTTGTTGATAACTCTTGCACAGTAATGTCCCGAACACAGCTCAAAGTGAAAAAATGGACAAAGGACAATAACTCCAAATATAGGCAAGGCAAAGTTATTGTTCTTTTGCACTGAACATCTACGGGGAGCATAATCAAACAGTGATCTGCATGTAGTTGAAATTAGATAACTTTTTCATCCAGTTTTTTTTTTAATTCTTTAATAAATTGGTAAAGCGGCAAACATGTTTTTCAAGCATTTTCACAGAGAACCTTACCTCTCACTCGGAATGGTTACTATTTGGATGTTTTTCAACAACATGAAAAGTTGCGTGAAACAAAGTCGCGCACGACAGAGCACATGATTGCGGGGGTTACTTCATAATCAGGGTGCCATGCACGAGAAAAAAGTAAAATCTACGATTAAGTGAGTAAACAAACTGGTTTCACTAGAGAATAATTGGTTGAATAGCTGGATGTCTTCTAAATAAAATGTTACATTATGTGTTAGATATAATCTTTCTATTACTTTCATTCCACAATGAATGTTTTATGTATAAACTATGCAACTCGACAACATTTACTTATTCTAATTGACAAAATATTTATATCAATATATAGTTTATTTGTAGATTTGGTAGATGGTAAAAAATTACTGTACCCTGACAGAGGAACGGTTTAATAAATTAACTATTAAATACTGCTTAAGCCGCCGGTGCTACATGCGTGAATAACCACTACAGTCCATGAACAATCACAACTTGAGCCTACAGCATTATAAGTTTTGTCGTTCTGTGCGACTCCCTAAAGAAAGCCCAACACGGCAAAATTCATGTTATAAAAGCCCACGGTGCCGCCGTTGCAGTAAGGCTACTTTTACATTGCGCCACGAGTCACGTACGCAATGACAGCACGTGCGCACGTGATTTCATCAATGCATGTTTTCTTGTCCGTTAATGTATAATTATTCTTTATGCAAGAATGGATGTCTGAAATCAAGAGAAAAATTATTTATATGGTAATGATAGAAAGAAATTATTTATATGGTAATGATAGAATATTAATGATAGAATGTTAGAACTCTAACTGTTTTAGAATATTTTAAAGTTATCTTGAAAAGAAAGAAATAATAATAGAATAATATTTATGCTTCACCTACAACGAAAAGTACGTATTGTTAAAAGCTTTCAAATTATACATACATAAAAGATCAGTCTAATATGACAATCAATTGGACTTTAAACGGTTTGGTGTAAGGGACAAAACTATTGCTTACTGCAGAATTTCATAATTTTGTAAAGGGAGACAAATCCGCCGGTCTTGTCTTAAACTTTTCACTGATTTTATCATTATTGTATCTGTGGTCAGTATTCTAAGAAATCAAATGAATGGTTCACGAATAGTTGATTTTAAGCTACTTTTTATGACATGATTTCTAGGTGGAAAAAGTCATTGTGTTTTTGTTGTTGGGAAGAAGAGATGTTAGAAAATGTGATTTGTGGTCAAGTAATTTATTTCTTAAGTTCGCATGTATATTTATCACGACTGCTGTTAAATGCTTTATTGTAAATATGGAAAATTGCATTATTGTGATTCTGTTCTATTTTGGTCAAGTGCATTGATTGAGAAATTTGTAAATAAGTATGAGTTTCAGAATGACATGTATCTATCAAGTCACCTTTCATATTTTATTCACTGTTATTTAATAGTTAACAGTCACTGGTGTGATAGAGAGAAGTTAGTAATTAGATTGATGTACTACACTCATCACTCAGATGGTAAGTTACATGTGATACATTATGTATTGTTTAAAGTGTTATATATGTTATACGTGTGTATGATTCCATAATCTATGCATATAATATTAAAGGACTGTTGCTAAGTTTAAAGGACTGATTGGCCACTAGACTAGAAAGTTAAATATGTTCTAGACGAGAACATAAGATATGGATATTATACAATAGTTGACTAGTGAGTCATTGAATATGATGTGATATTCACCGGCAGATGACATATTGACCGAGGCGATAGCTAAAAGGATGCAAATCCAATTTAAATTGGATTTTCTCAATCATATTTGTCGATTAAAATATCATAACATTACTAAAATAGTTAAAAGCTACACCACAATTATGTGTATAAACTTGAATTACTTTTGTTTTCGCAGTGTTCGCATAGACAAAACGAGGTTGAATAAAAAATTATTTTCTAGTAGAGGAAAATCCTGAAAAATATCGAGGGTGACCTTTTTTTAGTTTCCAAATTTTTGTGTGCTTTTTATTCAACGCGAACACTGCTAATTTGAATTTCCCAAACCTGAAAATAGATTGAGACTCAATGACCATACATCGTAGAGTTCGTATTAAAATAAGTGTTGCGTTTTGTTCTTTACGTCATATTTCTCGATTAAAATATCATTACTTTACTAGCTACTTTTCTTGTAAAAGCAAATGGAAAATCTTTGTTGTATATTTTTCCACAAAAATATTTAGCTCCATGATTTTTCTTAGCCATTTCATTTCAAGATGAACGAGAGAAAGCACCTGTCATGTTTCTAAAATATACATGCAGTTCTTGGGGTCGTTTCATGATTATTTTACAAAGCTCGATGATTATTTTACAAAGCTCGATCTAGAAGATGTAACAGTTTAGTTGCGATGCATGATGCAAAACTTCAAAAACTGAACAATAAGCAACAAGAACATCGATTCACATGAAGTACAAATTGCACTTACTTTTGAGCGGAATAGAATAGATCTACCGATGAATCTCAAAATATACCATCCTATCACGACAAATTCACATTCGGAAGATATCTCTATTGCCAGGTTTTCTATCCAGTTCCGTAAATCCTACTTTTTGACTAAAAACTCCAGTTTTTGTTTAAATTAATTTATTCGTCTCATTATTAAGCCATTGTTCCATATGTCGAGTTATCTGGTTAGCAAATGAAATATGTATGATATGGGAGTAAAAAGGTGAAGTTGTTTTGACAGAAAGGGACCCACTGCTTTGCTGCCCACACTATCATGTCATGTGAACATGTGACGGTCAACATGTGTATTTGCGTAGATGGCAGAATCCTACCGCCAATTATAATATATAAAGTAAAACATACATATATTTACATGAATATTGTCACGTTATATACATTAATTATGCTATAATTTGTTCTAAACATGTTGGGATCTTTAAGGAATAGTATGATATTTTGAAAGTAAATGGACCACTGAAGTCAAGACCAGATTTAGTAATCTGGCGACGCATTTGGGCTTCGCTAACCCAAGCCTTTCATTAGGAAGAGCGAGGTTTCCAGTAGTACTACGTCAAGCAATTGAACAGA